TGGGATCAGTGTGTAGAGCAGGTGGTCTGCCAAGCGGGATAGTAGAGGGGTGAGGGGGGTGGGGTGGGGGGGTCGATCTCACTTATCTGAATTACACTGTTGACACAAGAGTATATCAGGATGCGCCAACAAGCGAGCACTTTATCCCAGTGAGTCTCTAAAATAACTCTGAGCCTCCAGTGGGGTGTGTGGCAGTGTGTGAAATGGAATGATAGAAGACGCTCTGTGAAATGTGTGAGTGAATAGCTGAGTAAAAATACAATGCTCTGAGTGGTCTTCAGAACAAGAAAAGTGCAACAGATGCACAGTATTTTCACTTTATTTATTTATTTATTTATTTTTTTACGAGTGATCCCTGTCCTGATTTCAAGAAGTTCTATCTCACTGTAGTCTATAGTTTAAAAGCCTCGGCCAGCAAGAAATGTTGCTTTAAATGTCAGCGTATTCCACTGAGACCATGTCGTGATATTATTAACCATTATTGAGGTTGTGACTGATGCGCCACGGAGCCTGTCGTGAACTCCTTTCTCCGTGAGCACTCATTGTGTCAGTCCTGATGAGCGCCGCTGCTAAAAGGATTTAAAAGAGGAAATTGTTGTTATCTCTGAGTAAAATCCCTGGACGTCTGTAATTGTCAGCCCAGCGCAGGGCCAGTCCCTGCCCTCATTTATTAGACTTCATTTATCAACACGCTGCCGTTTCATTCACATGAGCCCTCGGACTGTTGTTAGATTCAAACGTCTACGGGATCAACCTGTCACATGATCCACTTAAAAAACACAGTATGGGGTCAACAATTTAGGCTGTATCTCCATCAGGTTCCTTTATTAAGAATTTTTATTATTATTATTATCAGTATTCAATGTATTCAATGTAATAACCAGATAAATCTTTTTATCTGATGAATCGGGGTTAATCAGACTGTAATTAATCAGTACTCAGGATTATTGAGATAAATCGACATTCCTAAATGTGACAGAACCAAATTGTTCTGTGTATTGTGGGACCAGAAAGAGATATTAGAGTCCATAGATTTGTTTTTATTTGTGATATGTGGTGATGGAATTATTAATAAGAAAAAAAAGGCCAAGAAAATATACAAAGTATAACTAAAGATTCACTTCCTACAGTTGGTAGATTTTAATCAGACATCTTAACAGTGGCTTGTACAACGAATTGGAAGTTGCTTTCAAAACTATATTTATACGTCTCACAGTGCCTTCGACAATTTTGTCAATCAACTTGTCAGCTGTGGACTTCCTGCCCTGCTCTCAGCGAGGCTGGTCTGACTCCAGACGTCTGACCTGGAGTTGAAGCCTCCACAGACACATGCTGGGCACTGAAAAGATATTTTAAACTCGAGTGAAAATTACTTTCCCCCTCTGTACCTACAAATAAGAATGTGTACTGACTGTGTGTTAGAGCATTGTTTCCCAAAGACTTCGCAACCCCTCAGGTTTTCTTTTTTGGGTCGTCTTGCATCATGTTTTCCAGGAGTTTAGGAATAATGTCTGTTGACTTGAGTTACGAAGTTTTGTGACTTTTAAAATATGGGTCCTCAGAAAAAAGGAAATGAGGAATCATTAGATATGGGGGTGGCTGGAATAAACTGTGTGTACTGTGAAAACTACTTTTTTAATGTGAGAGCAGCAAGATTCTTGGGGCCAAACCTCAATGCTCTCATTGGTTAAGACGTGTGATGACATCATTTTATGTTATCGTGATAATAAAGTCAACTTTTACAGCCCCATAAATATAAATATATATTACTGCAAATACCATTAAAATATTCACAACATTGTCCTTTTCTCACAGTACTTTACCCAGACGTCTTGCTGTACTCCTCCTCATGGTCTCTACAGTACTTAGAACTAACCAACCAGCCTGGGAATTTGTATAAAACTGCAGCTACGGCGCTTACAGCGCTGGTGTTTTCGCTTGGTGGTAAAAATATCAATATGTTTTCACAGAGCACAACAAGCCTTTATGTTGTTTTCTCCGTGGCAGAAACATTTCAGCAGCGTAACAGTGTTTCCTTTACAAAGGCTCAGTGTGTTTTTCTTGACTCCTCTCTGTCATTATGTGTGTCGACAGTACGTTGAACAATTCGGGGCCCTCGACGCTCGGTCTGCAGGCTGCACGGTGACAGCTGGAGGTAATTCACTTTACTTTATTTTGCTCTGTGTTAACGGCTCACGGGGCGATAACGGCGGTGCGCGGGCTTTAATCATATTCCTTTCTCTTCAAGAGAGATATTGCTTTTCCCCACTGTTATTACACAGTTAGTGAACGGGTAGGTGGGTACGTGTACGTGTGTGTGACTTGGTGAAAGAAAGGGAATCGGGTAATGGTGGATGGTTGTGCGCCGCAGGTTGCCGTCACGTGTGGCTCCAGGACACGTCTCATCAATCCACTACCTGGGTCTGGGTCTGTACGCTAGGGGAGATTAAAATGATCAATGGTGTCTCTCCCGTGCCGATACCCACGGTAGTTCATTATTAGACTGGGAATTTGGCAAGCGGTCCGACCCTGAGAACCTAACCACACAAGACAGCAGGAGAGAGAGTTCTTCCGTCAGGTCTAAGGCAATAATCTAATAGGGACACTTATTTCTGTTTCTCCTTCCTGTCTGGCTCCTCGCTTCCTCTCCTCTCTGCGAGCTCTGAAACAAAAGCCTTCGCCTGGGGGCCCTGCTGCTGCTGCTGCTGCTCACTGTCGCCACTGTGGCATATAAATAACAGTCGCACAACAACAAAACAAGTGTAACACACACCATCTGGCTCTCCACTGGTGTCTGCCTCAGTCTAGAGATGGACAAGTGTGCTGAGGAGAATGATATCTAATGACGGAGGAGGCGACACCGACGCCTCACTGCAGCCACACGTTGTCATATCTGTTCTTTAAATTTAATTTCATGTGTGGGACGTCTGAAGACTTCTAGTGGCCTGATTGGAAATCAAGTTTCTACTAAAACATAAACCATAAAGAAATATGCTTTGTGAAGTGGAGTGAGCTTTGGGCAGGACACGGTTGTAAACTTCACTGCAGTTTTTGGAGAAACTCTACACTTTAGGTACTTTATTCTTGTTGTTTTGGGGAATTTTTAAAAAAAAAATTGAGCCTGTGGAAGCGGTGGGAGAACATCGTCCTCTATGTTTGTTCTCTAATTTGATTCCTTGATATCGGCCAGATGGTTTTTCATCACTTCCATGAACCACAATTGATTCCTTGAGCAGAACATGTGCCGTTACTAAGAATTACTCATCCGTCGATGGGCGTTGGAGAGAAGGATATTAATCAATGTAACCTTTGCCACTAACCACCTTGTTATTCTTTCAAAGATAAACAGACTCGGAGCCGGGTTTCGTTAGAGGCTCATTATTAAGAGCGGTGCAGACAATGTATGCAGCTATTGATCCTGTGAAGGCTAGAAGACTAAAAAGTCAATGCCCACAGCCAATGAAAAAAAGGTATTTTTAGATGACTGCATCCTTTAAAGGCTACAGTTTTTTTTAAAGTCAGTCTTTTCGTCTAGACCCGTCGTCTGTGTGTGAGCTGCAGCTCCAGGAAACTATGAACATGATGTAGTGTACACTCCATGGTTCAGTCTACATTTGGTCATTGTTCAGTGGTAGAGATTTAGATGCGTTTACAAGTGTTCTTTAATCTCATCCTTCATTTTCACATGTGTTTTTGGGCTAAAAGTTATCAAATATATTCTCTCCTGTTTGGTTAAAAATGCTCTAAATCATAGGAATATTAATGATGAAAATAAAATAAACTGGAAGTTTAATTTTGTCCATGACCTACTGTACATTAGATGATGTAAGAACTGAATATTTATAAGATGATCACCGGCCCCTTTTGTTTTCCATCTTCATCCTGAACCAAAAACTGATGAGAAAGAAGAAAGCATTGCCTGTGAATTCCCTCAAGTCCAAAATCAAAGGATTCTCCCGTCTCCTGGAGGAATGCACCTTTATTCTTTCTTTCTTCTGACAAGTTCTTTTTCCCCCCAAAACATTAACATCAATCACATGAATTGACAAAAAGTCAGTTAGCAAAAAGAAGTTAATCCAATCCATATATCCTTTTATATAGGCACAACAAATGTCCTGTTTTTTTTTTCGTTTGTTTTTTCCAAATGATTCCACAACACAACCTTATTTACTCTGTTTATTCTAATGTCTATCAGAAATCTTTTCTGCCTCATTTCTGTTTTCCTGACTCCTTACTTCGCTGTCCCTGCCGCTCTAACGTTGCCCTTAAATCCCCCTCCGTTGCAGAACTAATAAAGGCTTTCTTCTTATTAATATGTAGTCAAAGTGTGTGTTACACTCTATATTGGTCGCCTATGTCTTCTCGGCTCAGCTGCGTGTGTGAGGATCCTGAGGCGGAACTTTTTGAAAAAGACCGTGCCTGCTCAGCAAACTCTCTGAAGGTAATAAAGAAGATTTCTCAAGGGAAATGGCTGAAATTAGCTCATCACCGTAGTAAAAGAAGGGGCTCACGTTATTAAGTGTACCTCCACTTTCTGCCTAATGTAGTGTGGGAGAGACTCATGCATATGCAGAGGAACTATACATTTATAACAGTGACTTCAGCACTTCTTGTATACTTCTCCTCGTGTATGAAGTAAGTATTCAGAGCACCGTCATGGGTACAAATTGGAAATAAGTAGTACCTTGTGTACACGGTGGCAGCGGCCAAATTAACCGATGCAGACCTGGCAGAAATGACAAAGCCACAAAGCGACGATGAAAGAGAAGAGGAAGAAGAGGACATAAGTGTGGCTAAAGATGAGGAGGAAGGACTAACACTTGGTCGCTTAGCAACCATGGTGAGAATGGCCACTGAACTTCAGCGAGTAGCTCAAGAATGGGACCCTTTGATGAGCCGTTCATTACAGTTCTCCAACATAATCGATGGTGGCATGTCGGTGTATAAGGATCTTTTTGCAAAGAAGAAAAAAGAGCGACAACAACTGCCTATCACTATGTTCTTCTCCCGAACAAACACACCTGCACCGCGGGCTTCAAAAGAAGAAAACACTGCAGAGCGGAGTCAGGATGCAGCGGCTCAGTCTGAAGAGCAGTGAAATAAAGCTGAGTCACTATTTGTCCGACTGTACAGGTAATTTGTATTTTTTTCATAATCATTTTTAATTTTCTCCCGTTCACGGTGGGCGGTGCTAATCTCCGCAATTTGAAGCCTTCTGTTCACGTTGATGATTAAAATTATTATTTGACAGTACATTACAGAAGTTATTTGTTGAAACGTTTCTAAAGTACTTTTATTTTACTTTATTTGTGAAACAAATGGTTGAGACTGTAAAATGGTTTGCTCGTTCTTTCTCTTCTTTTTCTGAGTATTTAATTGTAAAAAAAATAAAGATTTCTACTTTAGTACTACGGGTTCTTTTTGGAACGTAACCCCCGCGAAAAACAAGGGTTTACTGTATATGAAAGTATTTCCTATTAATTGCAACAATAAGAAAAAAAAGTGTAAAAACTGTTTATACCAATGCATATTAATGAGCACAATAAGTAGCCTTGAATGCTCACAATTGAGAGAAGAAAAAAACAGATTACCACAGGGTATAGAGTTATTACGTATTTTTATGTACAGTAACAAATATTTTACGTCACCCTGCTGGTTTCCACAAACTGTTTGTTTGTTCTGTTGTGCTATTGGTGCATTTATTAATAACAAGAAGTTAATTTCATTTTGGTTGCAGCGTGTGTAGCTTCTAGTACTTTTGAATATTACTCTTTTGTTGGCTCACTGGAAATATCTTCCATGTAAATTAACTATTTTATATAAATTATCCAACAACAAACGGTCGTCATAACTAAAAATAGTCTAATAAATGCTTTGGAAGTTGTGCTTTAGTTGAAATGCACTTTAGTGAAAGACAGATTGGCTTTTATTTTACAAAGAAAATTAAAAAACAAATCAATAATTCAATGGCATTAGAACTAATAGAGCGGGTAGAAAGGCTTGGGCACCGACATTTTGTTAAAGGTTAGCTTACTAAAAACATGGTCTGATTTTTGTTAGTATTTCCAGTATGTTATTTCCCCCACACAGTCACTGCCTTAAATAGTTTTTTTTTAAAAAAACAACAGTTCTTATTTTTGTTGTTTCACCTGAGGACTTTGTGTATAGTACTCTTTAATATATGAATAAAGCATTTGGTGACATACATAATAATGTCTGTCCTAACTACCGCTGCGATTCAATCCAACTCTAATATTCAGTACACGCTTGAAGCTGCTCTACTTCTCACTTTTCATTTAAATAAATCTTCTGGTGGTGGCAGCGGCACAGGGGCGTCTCCTGCCTTTCAGGGTTTGTTGGTTTCATGTCCATGAAATTAAACGTGCATATTTGAGCACTGTAACTCCTGCTTTGTGAACTTGTGTTTTCCAGCATACAAAGAAAGCCCCCGCCCCCAGACACTTGAAATGTAAATTGACTAAGAGTAAAAAAAATACAATTTAACCAGTTTTTCATGGAAATAGTTTAGGGACGGACGCTGAAGTACATTCACACAGCGATGTCACAGGGTGTTAACAACCTCGCCACTCGGCTCAGGTGAACTCCCACACATGTTGACAGAGGAGAGTGGAACCTGTTAATTTGACTGTGACTGAGTGGGTGTTTCCATGGTAGTGTGCAGACAGAGCTGCTGTTGGCAGCCCTGTCTTTGTTTACTATTTTAATTTTTACATTGGAAGATATTATGTGTTTTTGATAGTACCATGATAATAGGCATTTCTATTTTCTTTAAAAACAATTATTTGTTGTGTAAATAGTGACAAAATACCAGCAGTAGTCTGTTGGTATGAGCATTTACACCTGGTCCTATGTTGAAAACATGGTCAGGTAGCTATCATGAATGAATTCATGAAAGTCTGTGAAAACGTGCTCGTGTCGAGGCACGTGTTCACCGGGTTTCTACTGTATTTGCATATGAAAAACAACTGTACGTCGCACATGTTTTAGAACAACACACTCAGAAAATAACACCTGCAGCCACATGCAAATAAGACTGTGTCGCTTACCTGACACACAGCAGTGATTCACAGTGGAAAACATTGCACTGCATTTAGTGTGAATTCTATTTTACCATCTCTGTAAGTTCTAATAACAGCTGTTCTTCAGTCGTGACGTTGTCAGAATTATAACAGATCGTTGACTCTTCTGATATTTATTAGGCTGAGGCAACATTTTAAATGACAACAAAAAGACACTTGTGATCCTAACAAGTGCACTTAGCAATCAGTCAATCTGCCTTTCCCTTAGGCTAAACTGCCACCTGCTCTATATGAACGTGCCGCACCGCGCCGCAAAGTAAAGACTAAAAAAGTAAAACAAATCACAGGCGAACCTCAAACAAAAACACACTAGGTCTTGGGTTTTGCCTGAGGATACAAATAACTCTAAAGATATTGTGTGTCAGAGACAAAACAAAAAAAATGTGGTGAAAATCATTTCCCCTCACTTTTATTATTTTATTTGGTGCTTTTTTTCTGTTGTAAGTGTGGAGATGAAGCCACTGATAATATAGGACTGTAGTATATCCCATATCTTCCCTGCCACATGGTATCAAGTTGATACCAGATGGATCCCAGGGCTGACGTGATAACAGCTCGACTGCTGAACATCAGGGAGGGAAACTGTAGGCAGCGCTGCTCTATAGATGCTCTATATGCAGCTGCATCTCCTACAAAAGCATCCTGGTTTTACATTTTATTGGTAATCTGGCCTTTCCAGCAGCAGCAGGCACCGTTAGGGTGTGCACGCTTATTACCACACAAATCCATTAAAGCTGTCCATTCTGCACATTTGAAATATGTGCTATTATGTGTGTATTCGTGTGTGTGTGTGTGTGAACAGAGTGAATTATGTTCTCGGTGAAATGAGTGATAAATGTTCGGGGAGTCCATTTGCAAAAGGCCATACTCTCCCATAATGACAACTTTATTGAATCCACTGTGAGCCATCACCACTGTTGTTTGCTGAGCCTTAAAAGCAAATTAATATGCAAACACAGTATAGGCACCCCCCCCACCACCACCACCTGACCCCCACCCCAACACAAAAACACACATTATATTCTAGTAAATGTTTAGCTGTGCTGATGAACATCGAGGTAGTTTACATATATATATGTCCATATTCCATGGCTGATATAAAACCCAACGTGTCAAGTCATAATTATAGTGATTTTGGTCCTGGATAACATGTTACTGATCATTTTAATTTTCTTAAAAAAACAAAAAACAAACATTTATTTCTCTAATCCTCCTTATGATGTGCCCAGACATATTTACTGTACTGTAGCCAGGCCAGTGTTTATGATGATGTTTTTTCCCTGTTCTTATTGAATGTACTGGATATTAACCTTCTCCACCTGACCAGTGTCTCCTTCGTGCTGCCTGTTTCCTGGTTCCTCTAATAAGTAACACAATCAAGCTGACCTCGGACCAACCTTCGGGCATTTTTCCCCGTCCATTTAAAATGAGTTAATTCACAGAGAGTCGTAAGGAATATTGCTAACAGTTGTGGATTTTGTTTAAATAATTTCTGTACAAACAAAAGAAGAAATTAAGTGTTTCATTAACCCAATCTGACCACAGATCTGCTCATTTCATTTTTCCAAATGTCTTGGTGTAACATTAAAGCAGGCATCTATTACAAAAATGTACAATTATTTCCAAAATTGAATTTTTACACAACCTTATAATTCTTATATGGGACTGACTGTTTACACTCTGATGCCGACTGTTTCCTTGAATTATAGATGCAGCCTGGTCTACTGAGAGCTTTGCAAAAACAATAAGGAAAACCAAGAGTCGTACTCTGACTGTAGGGAATGAATGTTTCAAAAGCTCAGAGGTGAATCAAAAGATAATTAAAACTAGTGTTAAACGTTAGTAGCTGATGTGGAAGTTAGCGTGCTAATGAAACGCATTGACTACATTTAAAAAAAGACTACGAAATGTTTCTCCATAAATTGTTTTATTGTTTCACCTGAACACTTGAATTTTAAATACAGACCCAACTATAGTCGTCTTAACTCAGCATTTGTATTTTGTTAAATGCGCTTCTCTAACTCCACGCTTGATTGACCTACTTTTCAGGACAATAATAAATCAGGAGACGGTGCAGCTTGTCAGATTTGCTTACTGTGGGCCAGCATCACACTCCTGTCAGTGTCTTTGGTGTTGATGCAGCGTCTTCTTTTCTGAGTGGAGACGTGTGGGGGAGTAAGAGTTTTGTTAAACAGAAATAGCCTGAAGGATGTATGTTTGAGTGGCACATAAAAAAGAGTAAATGCTTTCTGACAACGCTGCTGCTGCTGCTGTGGAGTGACAGACAAAAGGTTACGTGACGCTGCTGGGATTAGGCAGCGTTTCATTGGAGGCAGAGGCCAGATCACTTTCAATCAAGGCAGATTGACAGGGATGTTTCAGAGAGACTCACTTCCAAACAGAACGTCCAAAGGCATCTGTCTATCACAGGCCGTGGCTTGTTAAGACTTCGTACAGGCTCCTGTTGAGGTGTCCACTCGTCTGACATTGTGGAATTCTAAAAGTTCTCAGAATGTCCTTAAAAGTTCTTAAAATTCCCCTTGGACATGGTCAAAGGTTTTTGCAGTACAACGGTTTATTCATATTTAAATGAGTGTCTCGGTCACAAAGATGTTGCATTTTTTTAACTGGGTGTACAGCCATTGGCTTCTCAAACTTTTCCACATCAAGGCCACCCAAACAGCATTAGCTTCTCACAGTTACCCCCCCCCCCCCCCCCCACAAACTCCTCAGACAATGCTACAAAATACTGTAGTGAAAGAAACATCATGTTTTGTTCTTGTACTTTTATTCATTATTCAATAATAATTATATTTGTTTAGCATAAGAAAAAGATTAGCACCGTATAGTCCCAATAATAATCCTATAATCTGTTTTTGTAAGTAATCCTCTATGTTGTCTCAATGTAATAAAATATAGTATACATTGTGGCTTATATTTATTATATATGGAATACTATTCAAATAGCATGTATTGTTTAAATCCTGAAACACTTATTTTTGTCCTAGCATTGCATTTTTATGCTGATGAGCTACTTTGTCGTTCCTTTTCTACCACTTGTTTCTGTGCTGTGTCCCAGAGGAGCATTTACACTTAACATTCACACACATTGGCAAATCTGAGTCTCCCAACAACCCAGTCCCCTGATGTGTATAATGTTTTGAACTGGGTGTGAAATGAGTGTGAAATGTATTGTATAATGTTTTGAACTGGGTGTGAAAACCAGAGTATTTACTCATACATGGGGAGAACATACATACCTGAGAGCTCAGCACATTATCGTATTGTTATCTCCAAATGATCAGCTTCTCATCCTTTTTTTTGTCCCTCCACAGTTTTGTGGCAGAAGCTCCACACAGCAGCGTAGAAGGTCACACAGATAACGAGCAGCGTTTTAGTCTGGCTCTTTGATTGGTCTACTGTCTTAATGTCACTATGGTGCACCAGCTCACAGGAGGAGGAGATTAGCTCTCATTCTATGACATAATCTGAGTCCATGCTCAGGTGCTCAATCTTTTGAACCCTGCAGGACGACAAGCATTATCACACAAGGTATAAAGGGAGCGCTGCTGTTTTAGGCCACGACAGACATCAGCATACAGGACTCTGGGTGGCGCTACAGAGTAACACTGTGATGGAAGTCAAATCTATGTAAAACTACTACTACTACTTTTGCTCTTGAACTGGCACCAGTCCAGGTGCGGGCTAATGATCTCTAGCAGACAGGGAACATTTCACATTAACATGGAATGGTTCATTTTTACACAGTGAACCTAAACTTCACAAGTCATCTTGCTTGAACTGACAGCATGCTAATGAGGTATTATTTAAATGTGCTGTGTTTTACTGCATAAAATTTTCCAAGACCCAGAATTGTAGGGTAGTGCTGTGAAATACTCAAGACATGGAATGTGTTAATGTGCTACACAAATTCCAAGTGAAAACCACACGGCAAATCCCAACAGTGTATTGTCAATGTGGCGAATTCACACAGAGGCAGGTGTCAGACTGTCAGCTGTGAAAATGTGAACAAAAACACAATTATAATTTTCCTATAAATTTCACCTGCTCCAAATTTGCTCAGCCAGTTCCTCAGATTCATCCTCCTGGTTGGACAACATGTCCACCAATCCAAGGTGGACAAGGACGGAAAAATAGCAAAATGAAAACATTAGTTTTGTAGCATTGTCTAAGACATTTCTAATGGGAGAAAGATCTGGACTGTGGTCACTACAGCAAAACTGCCTGCTGCAGATCCAATACTTGGACTGCTGTTGTAGCATTAGCAAATATCTAAAAACTAATCTGATGGAACCAGTTGAAGGAGACAGACGAGTCGATACTGGACCTGCAGTCAAGTCCACTACACATCTAAATGAAATGAGAGTTCAACGATTGTTCTCAGTGTATCTACTCACAGATGACAAAACACGTCAATATAACTTCACATTGAGCATATATCCCTGACCTCTGACCTGAAACAGTGGAGGGTCATAAGGTTTGACCAGATGACCGGGTTTAGACACGAGTGAACAGAGAAACCAACTGGGGAACGTGATTGTGATGAGTCAGTAAATATATTGTACAATTAGCTGCAAAATTGGAACGCATGAACGTGAACTGTAGACACACACACATGGTTTTCAAATGTAACTAGTAAAAGAAATTCACCCCAGAGACAGATAAGGGTCCACTCCTGGACTGAAATGACCTTGTTTATGACAGACAAACCTTGTACAAGGATGTTTTTTTGTTTTTTTATGTACCTGAAGCAAGCAAAGCAGCTAATCATCCACCAATTCAAAAACATGTTTGTGTAGAGTAATTACAATTTTCTGCTCAATTTCAAATGTTATGGTATGACATTTTTTAGAGTCTCTTTTTCATATATGTCCACAGAACATGTGTCAAACTCAAGGCCTCCGTGCTTGAATCCTGCCCATCAGGTCATTTTTAGTGGCCTGTAAACTACCCTGAGACAGTATGTAGTTGGTATGTGTAGCAAGGAATAATAATAAATATTTAATAATTTAATTTAGGAACTCTTGAAAAACTGGGATTTGAACCCAAGACCTTTTGCGTGTAAGGCACATGTAAAGCTGCTAAACTATTAACCACCATTCCTTGTTATCAGAGGTGTATGGGGTTCAGATTCATACATTTTGTGTGCCCCCAGCAGGTCTGTGTAAGAAGCCCATAGTTTTTGTTCACAACACAGAGGTCATCTCTGTAACAGCTCATATTTCATGATATCTGTATTGATATTTATGACTATATCAGCTGTGATTGTCATGGCTGTCTGTCTCTCTGCCCTTCTGTCTCTCTGCCTGGGTAATCACTTCATCACACTCACCTGTGTCCTGTGCCTGTCTCGTTTAGACTCACTGGTCACACCTGGTTATATATACTCCCCTCCCTCACACCGGTGTTTCTGGCTAACAGTTTGTTTTTGGAGATTTGTGGCAGGTCTCTGTGTTGGACTTGTTCTTCCCAACCTGTGAGTTCCTGTTCTATTGTCGTCTTGTTCTGTTCTGTTGTGTTGTGGTAGGTTTCTATGATCTCCATGTGTCCTGTTTTCTTCACTCGTGTTTGTTCTGCTCAGCCTTCTGTTCTGTGCAGCCTGTTTAATGTGTATTTCTGTTGGTTGGTCTCCACCCTTCAGTCCTGTGTTTATCAGTACATGCTCTGTCTGTGTTCCTCTGCTCAGTTCTGTCTGTTCAGTGTCTTCCCCTCTGTCTCTGAGTGTCTTCTGTCCCAGTTGGTTACATTCCTGAGCTCTATGTTGGGTCCTTTAAGTTGGACTCTTGATTAAAAAAATAAAACACTAACTTGACCCCCAAGTGCTGCATTTGAGTCCTGTCTGGACCCAATCACAATGCTTACTTCTACAACTTTTTTTTTTAAATGTATTTTTAATTTATTATTTTTATGTTGTCTTTCAGTAAAACCAACCCTTTGAGAGGGAATCTTAATGTTGATGTGGCTCTCACTGGAAATGACTGACCGCCCTGGTCAACAGGTTAGACACACAATGCTTAAAAATGATGTTTCTATTTTCATTAAAATTAATTTAAATGATTTACAAAATATATTAATATAATTATATATATATTAATTAAAAATAAAAACATTATAGTTTTGGAAATCTAAAGGAGTCCAACTGTTTTACACAGATTAGTTAATTTTCTACCACAGACCCTACCAGTCCTTTCATCTGGGGTTGACATGGTGTCACCTCAGCCGTAGAGAATCAGTGTATTGATTAGCATCTGCTTCCACCTCTTTTAACACTCCTGATAACATTGCAGCGTACGTTCCCTCAGCTATCAAGACATCAAATCTGCCGCTCTTAGTGGGTCTGATAGAATGATAAAAGTACACGCTGACGCAACTCACAGGGGAGTCGTGAAACCGATCTGCTCGATGAAAATTTCATCAGCATGGAGTCTGCTCCTGGCTCAGTGCAGTGAACTGGCTGTGGCTCGGAGCCTGCCAATCACAGAATGGCATTTAAATCATGTACGAACTCCACGTAGATTAACTATTAAAAATAAACCAACATTTTTTGACTTGGTAATTAACTAAGGCCGTTGTTCATCAAACAGAAGAAATTATTTTGGTATGAAAGTACTTTCAGTTCTTGGTACTTTAGGACACGTACATATATATGATACATGTATACATTGAACAAAAATATCTGTTCATTTTTTATGATCTGAAAATGTTTTCTGGTCATAAGACTAATTTATCTCATACTGTTCACAAATATCTGAATCTGTGTTAGTGAGCACTTCTCTTTTGCTGAGATAATCCATCCACTTCACAGGTGTGGCATATCAAGATGCTGATTAGGCTGCATGATTACTGTACTGTGCCTTAGGCTGACCACAATAAGAGGCCTCTCTAAAAGGCACAATTCTATTGTAACACAAAGCCACAGATGTCATGTTTTGAGAGTGTGGATCTGACATGCTGACTGCAGGAATATCCATCAGAGCTGTCGCCCGTGAATTAAATGATCATTTCTCTACCACCAGCCGTCTCCAAAGGTGTTTCTGAGAAACACCTCCAAGATCCTGTGAGACCAGTCACCCAGACGGCTGCTGTAACATTCAGTTTACAGAAGAGGCAAATGGTGGTCAAACCAGATACTGACTTTTTTGATCTCCCACACCCTCAAATATGGCAAAACACCACATTTTAACATGGCCTTTTATTGTTGTCAGCTTAAGGTACACTGTCCAATAATCATGTGACCTAATCAGCGTCTTGACATGACACAGCTGTGAGGTGGATGGATTACCTTGGCAAAAGAGAAGTGCTCACACAACAACACTCATTTAGACAGATTTGTGAACAATGTTTGACAGAAATAGGCTTTTTGTGTAAATAAAAAAAAAATTAGATCTTTGATGTATTTATATTTTTGTTCATTGTATATAGATATATGTATATATATTAATATATTGATATCTTTATATATGTGTGTAAAAATGTATTGTCTATAATCGGTCTCCCATTTGTTTGTCTACATAATATATATATATATATATACCTATATAATATACACTACCGTTCAAAAGTTTGGGGTCACCCAGACAATTTTGTGTTTTCCATGAAAGAAATTTCTAAGTGACCCCAAACTTTTGAACGGTAGTGTATATTTAAAGATACTCAAAAATAATTTGACCAGACAACATTTATTCAATGACAAAATGTTTCTTTCCACCTTCCAAACAGTGATCCTGTCTTTTAGAAGCACTCTTTTGTGCACAGTTAACACCCCAGCTGACTGTTTTTCACATCCAAATCCTCATCTCAGCTTCACTGACAATGATTTTTTTTAAATATTTTTTTTTGGAAATTGCTCTGTTCTACAGCCCCCGACCCCAACATTTTTCCCCCAGCATTATATTCTTAAGACAGCTTCTATTTTCTGACCTACGGATACCATGTCTTTTCTTAAACTGAAATCTCTGTATCAGTCCGTCTCCTAAGAAAGTCTGAGCTGCTGAAATATAAATGTGCTCTTTGCTTGACCCCTCTTTAGCGCTCGCTTTAGGCATTCATCCACAGCTGCCACAATTCTGAGACAGTTTTATGTAGAAAATATTCCACGGAGGCAACACAGTGGTAATGGACAGTTGAGGTGTGGACTTCCATTATGAATGGACACATCGTGTCCCACCTGTGTGGTCTTGAAGCTGTTTTGAAATCACCAGCTTGGGCACGGGGACCAAGTCAACATTCTGTTGCAGTTTTTCATAGACAGCAAAAGAATAAAATGAGGAATATTTGCAGGTTGTAGCGGTTGGTAGAACAATATTAATTAAATAACATTGAGATTTTTAGAGTTTTTAAAAGTGCCAATTCAAATGATTTCTTACTCGTATCCAGATGAGAGAGGTGTCTTGCGTTCGTACATTTCCGCACAGTCAGCAAATGTGAAAAGATGTGAGGGCTTCACATCTTATCTGAGTTGAGGAGAGGACGACAGTTTCCACACTTTTTCAAGCCTGCTGTTTGATTTTTTTGTTCTTTTTCTTTTTGTACTTTGTGAGCTTAGGAGTAAAGGAGGGTTTGAAAGGTCTTTTATTGCATCCCACAGTCACATTGGTAAGAGTACGGGGGCGGAGAGTGCTGGAGAGGTAGTCAAAAAAAATTCAGGACAAATTCGCACACACGCTACCATTGTTTAAAGTGTCGTTAAATATATATATATTCAAGTAAATTAGTTAAGGAAGTTAAATAAGTTAATAAGGTAAATTAGTTAAGGAAGTTAAATAAGTGTTTTGAAGATGTTTTACTCAAAATATGATTAATAAGGAGAGCCTGCTTTTTTTTCAACATTTCTCTGTCATAAAACCTTGAATAAAGCAGAGCAAATGTTACTCACTGCACACTTTAAAAATTAAGGGGAAACAAGCAGAAACGTTGGCCAGTTTCTCAGTAATAAATCTAACAGTGAATGCAACCGACAACATGTGATCCTTATATGACGCGTGTTGCAGCAAGGTTTTCAAAACTGGAAGTCTTTGGATCCAGAACACAGCGTGGGACTGTACTATGAGAAGTTATGCTTTAAGCAATTGTGAAGCAACCTAAAAAAAATATTTATTTCACCAAAAACTCCAAGCACCAATGGTCCCTGGTGTGTGTGGTCCTTTTGAATTTCATTAACACCCTGTGCCCTAGCGCCCCAAAGCTACTTTAAAATAATTGATGTAAAAAAAAAAAAGAGTTATTTTTTGGCTGTGCAGTGCATGTATTCTGCCATCCTGCAGCACACCAGTAGTCAGATCTCTTCTTTCCAAAACTGACAGGTTGATATTCACACTCCCTTCACACCATGACTGAAGAACTGAAGAACTAAGCTGGTCTCAAACCTCCCTCTCTGTTTCTGCTCTGTCTTTTTGATTTCCTGCTCAACTATAGTGCCACATTTTGTTGTTGTTGTTGTTGTTTTTTGTGTGTGTCTGTCTGAATAACTGAGCTTCGCTTTAATCACTTTTTCATCTCGCACGTCTTCAAAATCTGGTTCAAGTGAAAAGAAAAGCAATGACTCTGATGTGATGTAACTGATGGGTCAATTGAACCCAATGGGTAAAATCTGTCTGGAGTGTTGTGTCCTAGAAGGATGTTGCTTTTTGCAGACCATGGAAAGTGTTACGTTAGTACATTCTGTGCTGCAGGACACTGGTGGATGGAGTCTTTTGTCCTACTGCTGTACATTTTGTTTGCTACTGCAAAACAAAATGTACAGAGAATATTCCAAGTTTGGCGTCAGCTTTGTTCTGAATATTTGGCTAAAATGTGTGGCTGAATATGTTTTGATAAATTGTTACTGGTCTTGTGGTAATCTAATAGTATTTATTACACGTACATATGTTGCATTAAAGATAATTTTAAAGAAAAATGTTAATCTGAAGTCACATGACAAATTACCCTTAGTGCTCAGCATCTCACTCTCCCTCTCCGACCAGGGAAACTTACTATTCTGTGGAGCTTTACATGTCTAGAAAAACTCTTACAGTAATGATCCATACCCAGAAGATAAACTACTGATTCAATAACACTGTTAAAACCTGTTCATATACAGTACTTTGTTTAATTACTCAGCTTGTTCTGACCACGTTTGCTGCAGTACATATTGACTTGTGTGTTGTCTTTGTTTTATGTGTCGTGGGCCTGTGTCCATGTTCCTGCTGGTGGCCTATTGGTGAGGTCATCTAGGCAAATGAGAACTGGTACCACTGGGGGCCACGTACCCCTAGTTGAAAAGTAATGATATAATGAATCAGCAGTGCATGTTGTTAAAACGATACACAAAAGAGCACTTGTGTTCGACCAACTATGTTCAGTTTATTATGTTTTTTCTAACGTAACAATAAGCAACAATAAATAGGAGTTGATGAAATTCTGGAGATTTTGATCAAGACTGAGATGTTGCCGAGGCTGAGGCTGCTGATGCTGAGAGGAGCATCAGTGAGAGGAGCACCTTGCTTGATCATTTGTTGGCATCAGCTCCTCCCCGCTCCCTTCAGTCTGCTTCTGCTGCTGCACACCGCAAGTGGTTCGTCCAGAACTGTGCGAGCCCGTCAACGATCAGACTGGTCTGCGCGAGCCGGAGACAGAGAGGAGTTAGAGAAACCACTGACGTCCTCCCTCTGGTGTCTGCTTTCAGATGAGTCAGTGATGACACTGGCCGACAGGGACGACAGACGCGTTTCCCCCAGTGTGGACCGGCGGTGCGCAGAAGTGCGCTCCATGCTCCAGCATCCTGCACCTCCTCTGCCTCCGTCCCTGAGATCAGCCCCAACCTCCGAGAGCCGCTGAGATTCTCTCGGAACCACAGTAGAACGAGGTAAACTCATCTTTTTTTTTCTTCCTTCTCACTTATATAAAAATAACGAGATTTTTATCAACACGGTGATTTTGATACTTGTCTTCGTGCAACACTTGCATCTCAGGCACCATGTAACCATGAAACGCGCGCTGCTTCCCAATCCACCCGAGGTTAATTGACCAATTATTACGCATGAATAAATCCAACGCGGCTTTGCAGCGTGGAGAAGATCTGGCAGGTTGAAACAAATGCATTAATCAAGTGAAGCGAGTGGCTGTTTACACGAAATCCTTTGTAATAGAGTATTGATCAATGTAATTAAAATGCTGCCTTCACCGAAGTAGCGTCACTGGAGACGAGAAAAAAAACAAACAAGCAAACTCTAAAATGTTATTTGTTGTAGTATCTGAAAGAAGTCTGCACTGATTGATTTAAAGTCTTAAGTTTGTATTTTCTATGTTGATGTGGATGAATGAATGAATTTACTGTTAAACTATATATAAAACGTCATTACAAACTCGAACTACTGAGATATCCTCACCTTTATTTCCAGGGTCTGGTTCAGACTTACAAAGTGAAATAGCTTTTCATCACAGGATGCAAATTGTTGTGCAAATGAAGTGGTACCACAGAGCATGTGGCTGCTGGTCTGTGTAAGCTGCTTCTCAAACAGCATCAGTGAGCTGTTTTACTAAGTCAGGTATAAAAAAACAAAACGTAATTCCCAGCAGCCTAATGCTGCCACGCTGTGAAATAATAAAATAAAATAAAAAATATTTTAAATTGTTGTGCGGTGTTCTTTCTGGTGGAGGCTTTAACCACAGGAGAAACATTGGAGTTCTTATTAATGTAGGAGTTCCCACAGTTGTTTAAGTTATGTGGAGAGCAGCGGTATATTTACTGTAGAGGATGAGAGGATAGCTGTATATGTATGGAAATAAAATTGACTTTTGTTGGATTTTGAATGATTGAAAAAAAATCACTAAAAGATAGGTGACGGCCACATAGTGTATGAGTGGATGGCACTCTTGCCTTACAGCAAGAAGGTCAGAGGTTTGAACATAACTGGTTCTAGATGATCTGTTTGTATAAAGTTTGCATGTCCCCACTGTGTGTGCGCCTCCATGTTCTCCCATAGCCCCAAAGTGACACACACACAGCCACACATTCTGACACACTGTGCCGGTGACTGTACAGGAAGCAGTTGTGACAGTGGACCTGGCCTCATCACTCATGGCTGCCGCCACAGTTTATCTTTAGTTAAAGTGGAACACTTCCTGTTTTTTGATCAAACACTTTTGTTTGTCAAGGTGATATGTGAGACGGTGACTGATGCTCAGTGTGGTTTGAAAGGCCATGCTGGTAGGTGGACATTTGATGATGTTTCCAGCCCCGTAGAAGACTGAATGTGTCTGTGATCTATATCTGGATAAATATACACCGTCAGAGGACGTCGGTTTTAATCTGAGGAGATTTCTTTTGTGTGAAAGAAAGAGGAGGAGGAGGGTGAGGTAGAGACGGGAACTGTTTCCTGCACAATCATTACCTATTGTTAGATGGTGTTAATCCACATGACTCAGTTGGAGTAAGACAGAGTCTGGATGAGAAGACGACAAAAAAAAGTGTCACTTCTTTTGCAAAACCTATTTTGCAGCCGTCTTCACAGAAAAATCATACGAACACTTACTGATGTTAGGTACATTTAGGTTCAATTACTCAGAGCACTGAGATGGGTTTAAAAGGAGATGTTAAACCAGGCATTTGTTCTCATCGTTCTCATTAGAAGCTTTATTTACGTAAGAACTCTGCTGTAAAGACGTCGACAATGAAGTGTTGAGGTTGGAGCTTTCTCTAGTAAGTAATTGTTTTTACTTCTGATGTGAATAAAATAATTAAATTATCTTCCCTTTTCTCTTTAAATGTAATTGGCAGTTGAATAAACAGCCAACATCTGATTGGACCTTAGCCATGTTTCTGTTAAAACATGATGGGTTTTTTTTCTTAGTAGCTGCAGTGCCTTATCAGATTTATAAAACTTTGTATTCTACAGTTTTTTAGGTGTGTGACAAATTGATGATTAGTGAAATTCAAAGCTAGCTGACATGACTCTGTCCATCAGTTTGTATCAGCTGTGGCTCTGATTCTCCACAAACACATGAACCTTACGAACCTCTAATAGAAGGTCATTATCGTAATGGTGCACTGATGACCTTAAATATTTTTTTCCTGTTATTACATAAATAAACTAAAGCTAAACATATACAAGTATATATATTTCAGTTTAAGTCAGTGAGACGCATTTGCAGATTGTGATTGGCTCCTGGAACTTCAAGCTTTCGATTCAAGGGTAGACACCAGTATTATCTATTTATTTTTCGTGCTGACTGAGAGATGATGAACGCACCATTGGCTGTAATCTCTCGTATACTTTTATTCATGTCTTTTTCTACTAATGCTAATAGCTCCAGGACCGGCCATTCTCTCTCTAAACACTAACATGTTCTCCCAGTGTCTCTCTCTCCCTCTCTGTCTGCATCAATGACTGACGGTCAAACACATGAGTTCTTAGGAGACGCTTCACTCGTGTAACAGCCAATTATCTGTCTTATCAGGGGCAACCATCCTTTTTTTTTTTACCAAATTATTTTCCAACACCTCAGGTGTGTGTGTTGAGCTCCGCTCTAATAGTTTCTGTATTCCTCGATAATTCTCCCTCAGCTCTGGAATTTAGATGAATATCAAAAAGAGAGACTGGTGACTGGGGGTGTGAATTAATGTGATTTTTTTTCTTGTCTCAATAATAACTCTTTCTTTTTTTTGAATCATTATTTCCTGTTCACTCCCCCGTATAGATGTGTCAGCTGCCATGTGCCTGACGCCTGGCTTTACAGAGAGCTAATGATTACTGTGAGAGTCACAGGACTTAATTATGGTCCTTTGCCGAGCAGAATGTTTTCTGGATTCAGCGTTTGACCTCGTGAGTTCTCAAATCTTCCAGCCTCTTGATTTTGTATAATTATATGTCTGTGATTGACTTTAAGTGAGTGTGTTGACTTTGCCAGCATCTTGGTGTACGTATGTGTCTGTGGAGTTGGACGCGTCATTTCCTGTCTATCAACTAACAGCAACTAACAGTCGTGTCTGTCATGCCACTGTTTTCAGTAGCTTGGATATGTGTGTAGCCATACTGGGTTTCTTTTTATTTAAGAAGACTTTAAGAGAGCTGCTGAATGCCAGTGTTTTGGAGCTCCTTCTCCTGTTAGATATTTTATTTCAGAGTGGGGAACTCAGTTACAGAGAGCCACAGAGCTCAGTGCCAGGACCTCTTCACTCCAGTCCACGGTTCATACATAATAAATAAGCCACTGCAACCTACAGTACGGGGTGTAACTAGGCTAATGCCCAGATTTGCACATTTGTGCCAAAGTTCATAATTTATTAGTGCGCTGCTGGCACTGGTCTTCAGAGCAAAGGACTTTGGTCCATATGGTTTATACTACAGTACTGGTTTTACCGTATTTACTGTTCAACAACGGCACTCATTTTAAATGCAGCAACAAAATGCTCATCGCCAAATGTCAAACGTCAGGACCGCACAGACTTGTTAGTCTTGTCTGTACTGATGCATTTGGAAAATATGAGATAATAATGGACAAGCAGATATAGAGGGAGCGAGTGAGAAATTAGTGTGCGTATTGTAATGTATTGTTTTGATTGGCTGACAGAGCTGAACTATGAATGAGCAGGAACTGTTTGTTGCTGTGCTGATAAGTGAACCATGTAATGAAGGGGTCAAATGATCGTACAGGCATTAACAGAGGGTAAAAATGCCGTGAGAACCACTTCCATCAGCAATTTATTTCAGTAATGTGAAGAAAAATCACATGCCATCTTCATCCATTCGTTTCACTTGTTTCTGTGTGAAATGTTCCCAACACGCTGTTGTTGTCAGCTGACCACCGGCCTCGGCCGCCCCACGACCTTTATCAGAATAAAGCAGTACATAATGAGTAAGTGTGTGAATCTATGAATAAATTCAAATTGTATTTGCATGTGGTAGGAAATTAGACTTTACAGATAAGGTTTCCTAAATTAAATTCCTGTTAAATACTTAATGGAAACAGATACACGTTTATCTTCCTGTGGAACAATGTGTCTTTACTGTCCAAATAATAATAAATACTAGGTTCTGATAGAAACATTTTTGTCTGTGCAGAGTCACACAGACAACTATGACAAAAATGAAACTATTCATGTTTGTAACACAAATTATAACTTTGAAATCCTATATCAATATTAACAGCTTAAACAGAAAAGAAGGATTTGGCATCATGTCTAAAGATAAAGAGGATGAAGAAGAGGTTGGTCAGAACAGCAGGCTATAAAAACCCACATGCATGGACAGTGAATGCAGAGTGGACGCCATCCCAGGGGTCAGAAAGACCTTAAAATAGTTCTTTAATAAGCTGAGCCCTCTCCTCATTCTACATTAACCAGATGTACAACAAGGTGTGACACCATCAGTTTTGTTATAAAGTCGACGTATCAGTTCATGCTCTCAGTTATTTTTTCTGCCAACCTCATCTCATTAATGCCAACTGCGTTTCATACATTTATTATTTTATACCCGTGTCCTGTCATATTTGTCAGATCATTTGTGGCCGAGCTGCAGCTTCACAGAGACCATGAACCTGTCATGAGGAATGACCTACGTTAGTCTGGTTCTGCAGGTTCTCCTGATGCACCGTTCCTTCATTTATCTTCCACCGGTTAATCCTTTTCAGGGTCGTGGTGGGGGGTAAGGGAGGGGCGGGGTAATCCCAGTAGAAATCAGGCGAGGGTGGGGATCACTCTGGACAGTTCACCTTGCCATCACAGCACTGTGTAAAGTACAGAAAATATTTTTTTGCTGTAAGGCTGAAACACTAACCATGTTCTCACATGATGCACATGAACACATAATTATTTTGTGCTTTGCTTCACAGAAAGCTTCAGGCTGTGCAATAACTTTGCTGTGA